AATGACTTACAGTACAGTATGTGCTGGAGTTAGTAACGTCACAGCTTTTATTTGAACTTCAGTGAGCGGCAACACACTGAACTTCATGCAGTGACATGAATGAATATTAAAGCCTTGATATGAAGGCTAAACCCACGCTCTGTTCCCATCCACTCCAGAATAATCCCAGCACATCCCCTTTCACCTCGCTCCCTCACTTCTGCGCTCTTTATCCTCGACTGAGGCCTCGTGTCGCTCGATCGGAACGGTCAACAAGGCCTGCTCTTCTTAGCGGGTCATTGTCCACGTGAATGGACAGATCTGGGTGGTGACCGTCGCTGGGTTAAGAGTGCAAACAGTCTCGCACACATCAGAGCTCAGCAAACATCTCCGTCTAAAGCACATCCTTCTGGCTTTCAGAAGAGCAACAGTCGCAGACTTTGATCACGAGATCGGAGCGTCTGTTCCGGCACGACGAAACCACAGCGACATACTCGACATCTCTGACAAAGTCCTGGGATCTGCTACAAGATGCATGTTTTTTGGGTTAAATGTGAACATAAAATGAGCTCCAAGATCATTGGAAACAAACTAAGTTGTAGGATTCTGAAACGTGAAAAAAAAAGACTATTTTCACATTCCGGGTCAGTTTGGACCCAAAGAATCGCTATTTTATAAAACAGTCTTAACTTAATATTTTTCAGCTAAAACCCTATTGTGTAAAATTTTAAATTTGTAATGTAACCATGTGATTACTGCATACACTTCGTTATTATTTAAAAACTCCCTGAAATTTTAAATCACAACAAACAAAAAAAGTATGATGCAAAATACATATCTAATTTTTTCAATAATGATGAGAAATTTTATTTGAATATATGTGTATGAAATTTATAAGTAGATATAATCTAAAAAAAATAATCAGTATTGGAACTTAATGAAATTCCTTTGAATTTATAACTCTTGATTGCTTAAAACAGTCCAAATTTATGAAACCTTATTTCTATCAAAGTAATATAACATTTTTTACGCATTAATTAGCCTAATTTTACTTGCATGAACTTTCACTTTTCATGCTGCAATAATTCATCAATAGCCGACCATATTCATGTTCAACAACAAAATTCAGTCCCAAAAGTGTGTGAGATATAGGGAAACATCTAAATACATTTTACTAAAGTTTTCGGTCACTAATATAACTTTATGGTGCTCCATACATACAAAAAAATCTGAAAAAATCCATTTGTGTTTTGAGGGTCTTAAAGCATTTAAATACCAGAAATACAAATTAAACCAAAAACATAATTAAATGATGTGTGTCCCTGCAGCACAAAAGCAGTGTTAAGTCGCTGGGGGATATTTGTAGCAATAGCCAACAATACATTGTATGGGTCACAATTATACATTTCTCTTTTATGCCAAAAATCATTAGGATATTAAGTAAAGATCATGTTCCTTGAAGATATTTTGTAAATCTCCTACCGTAAAAAAAAAATGGAATTTGGGAAAAGATCAAACAGAATTGTGGAAAATTAATAAATGAATAAAAAATAAAAATGTATTTCATGTTGCCCTAAAAATGTCATATTTGTTTAACTTTTAATAAACCAATGTTAGGCTGTATGCTTCATTACTTCAATTAATTAGACATGTTTTTTTTTTATTAATAAAATTTCATTTAACCATTCAAATGAAATCCAGAGATTTAAAATGAGAAAAAAATGAATTTCATAATAAATAAATGAATAAAAAATTAAAACATATTTCATATTGCCCTAAAAATTTTACTTTTGTTAGACTTTCAACAAATTGTTGTTAAATTCTGAAAGTTTTATTACTAACATGTAATTATCCATTAAAAAGGAATCCAGAAAAATAAATAAATAAATGGAATTTGGGAAAAGATCAAACAAAATTGTGGAAAATGAATAAAAAGTAAAAATGGATTTCATATGGCCCTAAAAATGTCATATTTCTTCGACTTTTAATAAACCAATGTTAAGCTATATTTTTCATTACTTCAATTAACTAGACATGTTTTTTGATTACTAAAATTTAATTTAACCATTAAAATGGAATTTAGGAAAAGTGTAAAACGCGTCAGAACCAGACCAAACCACTAAGCCTCATCTTTACCAACATGTATTCAGATGCATCAATCCATCACATAAGCAGACTGAGCATCACAAACATGTGAGAGATGAAGGTCGCTCATGCATCACAGTCAGCGCTGAAATATGAGCCCGTGTGGGCGGAGCCTCACTCCCCCTGCGGCTCTGATTGGCCACCAGGGGCTTTGAATGACAGGAAGACACAGGACTGTGAGTTATGCCACTCATAACAGAGAGAGAGAGACACACACACACACACACTGAGTGAGGCGTCTGTGATAAATGATAATATTTTCAATAGAGACACTGATAGAAACACCATTAATCAATTTCCAGTGAGTGAGAGAGTGACGGTTTCAACAGTTTGAGTCTGTTTTTATCAAAATCACTTTAAAAGAGATGTGATGCATTATCACACACACACACACACTCTCTCCCTCCCTCTCTCTCACACACACACACACACACTGCATGAGTGAGAGACGGAGTGACAAACTGAACACTACACTAACATACTATCACACTATCACTGCAGTGTGTCTGAAGTGTTCTGAATTCATGAATATCTGGATGAACGACTGCATTAAAACCTGATGCAATACAAACTGTGATTTTAACATCATCTCATTTTTGACTAGTTGTTGGATCAGACTGTCAAGCGTTGTTAAAATGTAACTGAAAAGAAAAACTAGCATATTTATCTGAGAGACAATAACTGGATGCCACTCACTGAAGTAAACAAGCGTTTCAACATCCTGTGACAGTAACACAACAGAAATTAATATGCAGCAGGGTCATATTTTCTAATTATTGCAATGCTTTTCAGTAAAGTCCAATTTGTTAACATTAGTTAATGCATTAAGCAACGTGAACTAACTATGAGCAATATATTTAAGTATTTATTTTTGATAAGGTGAGATAATAGACAATTATTTATTGTTTGTTCACCGTGCATTAACTTTTGTTAGCAGATACAACCTGATAAAAGTGAGTAAAATTGACATAAGATTAATAAATACTGTAGAAATGTTTTCATGTTAACTAATTTGGTTAATGTTAACAAAATGATATTTTACATAAAAAAAATTAAGCCTGTTTTTAGGACCTTTAGGATTTTTTTGTTTTCAACACCCTAGCAACCAAATAGCATCACCCACAACACCCTAGTAACCACCCGAACACCCTAGCAAAAAAGGGATTGTTCACTCAAAAATGATCGTTCTGTCATCATTTACTCCTCTCATATCTTTCCAAACCTGTATGATTTTCTTTTATATTTTGAAGAATATTAAGTGACAAATAACACTGGAGCCCACTGACTTTCATTGTACAGACAAAAGACATTTCTCTAAATATCTTCTTTTGAGAAGAAAGTATGTCATACAGATTTAGGACAACGGGAAGTTTTCACTCTTCTCTACACAACTAGTTTCTAGTTAAATTGTAAGTAACCAGCATTATCCTCTCCATTCGGGGTGTGTGTGTGTGTGTGTGTGTGTGTGTGCGAGTGTGTGCGCGAGTGTGAGTGTGTGTGCGAGTGTGTGTGTGTCTGCGTCTGTGTGTCTGCATCTGTGTGTGCCTGCGTCTGTGTGTGTGTGTGTGTGTGTGTGTGCGTGTGCGTCTGTGTGTGTGTGTCTGCGTCTGTGTGTCTGCATCTGTGTGTGCCTGCGTCTGTGTGTCTGTGTGTGTGCGTCTGCGTGTGTGTGTGTGTGTGTGTGTGTGCGAGTGTGTGCGCGAGTGTGAGTGTGTGTGCGAGTGTGTGTGTGTCTGCGTCTGTGTGTCTGCATCTGTGTGTGCCTGCGTCTGTGTGTCTGTGTGTGTGCGTCTGCGTGTGTGTGTGTGTGTGTGTGTGTGCGAGTGTGTGCGCGAGTGTGAGTGTGTGTGCGAGTGTGTGTGTGTCTGCGTCTGTGTGTCTGCATCTGTGTGTGCCTGCGTCTGTGTGTCTGTGTGTGTGCGTCTGCGTCTGTGTGTGTCTGCGTGTGTGTCTGTGTGTGTGCGTCTGTGTGTGTGTGTCTGCGTCTGCGTCTGTGTGTGTGTGTGTGTGTGTGTGTGTGTGTGTGTC